GCAACGATGTCTTGTGGAGTTCCCTCGTGTTCTCCTTCCATCATTCCAGCATACACTTATGGCCCTTCAGCGAATGTCAAAGAAGTCCGATGTACCTTTTGACGAATTCATTGCTCCAGTTAAGATGGAGCTAGATCCGGAAGTCAAAGATGTCGGCCCTCCCCAGTACACGATGAGGCCAAATTTCTCCTTCGACCTCAGTTGTCTTACGCATGACAATACAACTCTACATCATTCGCCCCGAAGGCCGCTAGACCCGCGAGAGTTAGCAAACCATTCATCCCTTGATGCAACCCAGTCCGGCGCTCTTTTAAACACGTTATCAAGGAAGCTAGCTCTGATCCAAGGACCACCGGGTACTGGAAAAAGTAAGCATCAACCCTTAGTATCATTCGCGTTGTGAAATGCTTTCTTCTTCCCTTCTTTCTAGGATGCTATGTGTTCTAATAGCAGTCATATGGGCCATGGATGAATGAGAATTACTAACGTGAATAAATACAGGTTTCACCGGCGAAAAGATAATAAAGGTGTTACTTGCAAATAAAGGCCAGGCTGACCTCGGTCCTATTCTCTGCGTATGCTATACCAACCATGCCCTAGATCAGTTGTTGGTACACCTGATGCGCGATGGAGTCAAGATTATTAGAATCGGATCAAGATCGAAATCAGAGGAGTTAGAGGGCCTCAATCTCCGCGTTGTGGCCAAAACTGCGGATCGTACCAAGGCTGAAAAGGGTTCGATGTGGGAATTGAGGTCAGGACGTGATGAAGATGTTCGTACGATAACACAGTCGATCAATGATCTTGCAGTTTGCCAAACTGCAGTTTCGATACGGAACTACCTTTCTATACATCATAAAACCCACCACAATGCTCTATTTGGGATTGAAGATGAAGAGGGGTGGCAACAGCAACAGCGTCGACAACCTGGCCAACTCCTCGGCCAATGGCGAACCAGTGGCCACCATGGGAATCACACACCTCGCGAAATTACTCAATTGATTTACGCGGATGTTTGGACCATGAGCAACGCAGAGAGAACACGTCTCTACAATTATTGGCTGCGAGAAATACGCGACCCGCTGATAACCGACATCATACAGAAGTATAAGAGTTACGAACACACCACAGATCAATTAGAAAAGGTGTCTCGTGATGTTGACCTGCGATGTCTGCATGAAGCGGACGTGGTTGGTGTCACAACTACCGGGTTGGCGAGGAATCTTAGCCTCCTCCAAAAGCTAAGATGTAAAGCCATGTTGTGCGAGGAAGCAGGAGAGGTTCTCGAGGCACATACCTTGACTGCCCTCCTCCCCTCTGTCGAACATGCTATTTTGATCGGCGACCACCAACAGCTAAGACCTCAGATAGTAAACTACGAACTCCAAAGCACGAGCGCAAGAGGTGCTCAATACTCCCTCGATGTATCTCTGTTCGAGCGTTTAATCCAACCGCCATATGATACAGACCCGAGATTACCATATGATACTTTAGAGACCCAAAGGCGAATGCACCCCAGTGTCTCGGAGTTGATCCGATCAACCTTGTACCCTCAGCTTGAAGACGATGGCCCGGTAGCTCAATACCCAGAGATCTATGGTATGAAAAAACGGTTGTTCTGGATGCATCACGAGTCACCCGAGGATCAAGAAGTTCAGCTCGATCCGATGACAACTTCACATACAAATACCTTTGAAGTCGAAATGACCATAGCACTCGTCCAGCACTTGGTAAGGCAAGGATCTTATGGTTCGGATGATATCGCTGTCATCACACCATATCTAGGGCAACTGAATCGACTTCGCCGCGAGATGGCGAGATTATTTGAAATTTCTGTTGGCGAGCGAGATCTAGAAGAACTAGAGGCTCTCGATGCTGATCAACTAGCAGCCGAGAATGTAGCTCCTCAACCCCACAAGCCCGTCACCGTCAAGAAAACCCTCCTGAAAAGTATCCGATTAGCAACTGTCGATAACTTCCAGGGCGAGGAAGCGAAAGTCGTGGTAATTTCTCTCGTGAGGAGTAACGCCGCGAATAAATGTGGATTCTTGAGCACTTCTAATCGTATCAACGTGCTGCTATCTCGAGCTCAACATGGCATGTATCTGATCGGCAATGCAAACACCTACAGGCATGTGCCTATGTGGGCGAAAGTCCTAGACATCCTCGCAGATAATGAGAACATAGGGGCTCAGTTGGAGTTACATTGTAAGAATTTCCCTTTCTTGAGCCATCGAAATACTAACCGTCAACCTTATAGGCCCACGTCACCCTAACCCTGATACACCCCTTTTAGTATCAAAGGCTGACGATTTCTTGCGAGTTGCACCTGAAGGGGGATGTATACTCCAGTGCGACCGACGTCTCCCGTGCGGACACTCATGCATTAACAGATGCCATCATGAGAATCTGCACAACGCCGTCAAGTGCTTGGAGCCTTGTCCCAGACCTAAGAAGGGATGCCAACACCCTTGCAAGTTGGTTTGCGGCGAACCTTGCAAACCTAAATGTGACGAATATTTACAAAACATCAATATTACTCTTGCCTGTGGCCACAAAATCTACAAAGCATTCTGTTGGCAAGCGCAGAACCCCTCTAGCATCTCTTGTCAGCAAATTGTTAAGAAGACTGTGCCTGGTTGTGGGCATATCGTTGATGTGCCTTGCCACACAAACGTTAGCGTCGACACTTACAAATGTAGAAAGCTGTGTCTCGACCCTCAGCCATGTGGTCATAACTGCCAGAGTGCATGCTATCAATGCAAGGAGAGGAAAGAAGGAATAATTGTCAAGACAGTCCACCCTTTCTGCAAGCAAGCCTGTGGCCGGTCATACACAACATGTCGCCATACCTGCCAGCAGCCGTGTCACGGCGAAGCCAAGTGTCCGCTCTGCCCAGCATCGTGCGAGGTTAGGTGTAGCCATTCTAAATGCAGCAAAAAATGCCACGAACCTTGCGTGCCATGCGCCGAGCAGACTTGCGCATCTAGTTGTCCTCACGCGCAGTGTACTATGCCCTGTGCAGCACCTTGTGACTGGGTGCCTTGTTCGAAGAGGTGCGAAAAGGCCTTGAGTTGTGGGCATCAATGTCCATCCGTATGTGGAGAGGCGTGTCCCAACGCAAGATTCTGCCAGACTTGCTGCTCTGAAGAGATAAAGTCGGTTATGGTAGATTTTATCATGAGCATGCAATATCATGAAATTGACTTAAACGAGGATCCTTGCATCTTCCCGGACTGTGGACATTTCGCTACTAAGACCAGCATGGACGGCATTATGGATATGAAGGCGCATTACAAGATGTCGACCGAGGATAACCCAACGGATATCCTCAAGACCTCTGAACCATTCTCCATGGATGAGGTAAAAGTTTGTCCGACTTGCCGTGGGTCTCTACGTAGTATCTCGCGATATGGGCGAATAGTCCGACGAGCCATGCTTGATGAGTCCACCAAGAAGTTCGTTTCTTGGTCCCAGATCGAGTATAGCAAGCTTGCGGAACTTCTACTCGACGTACAGGGGCACATCTCAAAAGCCCCACCCCCTCCCCGAGTCTTACAGAAGGACACGCGCCCTAACAAGAAAGCCTTTTCGATTAGCCGTGTGAAACAGGCCCAACTTATCCGCGACTGGGTAGGCAACAACAGATATGACAAAGCTATTAAGCTGTGGCGGCGAATCAACAATTTTCTCGGGCAAGTGAAAAGGGAAGAGCAACCTTTCCAGCGCGTCAACGACTTTGTCCTACATGCAGAACGACAGCGAAAAACCCAGGGGGTATTTGACTTCGATGAGACAAGAATACACATCAAGGGACACTTACAGGCATGCACGCTTTCCCTAAAATGCGATATTGTCGTCGTTACCGACTTCATGACGCTGCGGAATTCGCTCGCAGAGACTCGAGGGAAGCTGAATTTAGATTTCTCGCTGCAGTTGGATGAGTGCGAGTCCCTGGCGGAGCGTGCCAAAGCCACAGGATACCCCAGGCAAGAAACCGAGGCTCACGTATACCTTGCACAGTTTTGCGCCTTCAGTCGAGCGCTGGTCCCAGCCGAGAAAGCAGAGGACGAGTCTAACACTAACGCTGTAAAGGCCGAGGGCTTCAAGGAAAGGGCTAAGAAACACCTAGCTCTCGCTCGTGAGCTGGTCGCGAAGTATAACGACCAGACCAAGGGGATGATGGCCGAGATCGAGGCGACGGAAAAGATGGTACGTGATAGCGTATTTTACGATCCTGTATCTACGGAGGAGTTGCGGGCGGTATACCGTGCTATGACGGCCGAGTTCTCTGGGACCGGCCACTGGTACAAGTGTGTGAACAACCACCCATTTACAGTTGGCGAGTGCGGGATGCCAATGGAGCGAGCTAGATGTCCGGAGTGTGGAGCGCCCGTTGGTGGTGCTAACCATACCCCTGATGCAGGAGTGCGACGCGCCAACGATATTGAAAACCTGGCTCGCGGTCTAGATGGGCTGGGAATTAATTGAGCCGTAGGTGTTAGTTTAGGTGCCGTCTCTGCGATGCGAGGTTGATAGCTGGATAGGGGACAAGGCCATATCTGACCACTACGCCGTACGATCATCTCCCGATCCAGGTGTAATTCATTGTAATTCAGTATTGCTTTGCGCAGATCTTATTTAATAAAACGCGTCATGTTCTCTACGAGAAGTCATAAAATATCGGTTGTAACGCAGTCACGTAAAGCTCGCTAGATGAAATAATCAAATCTTCATAACGACAAAGGAGAATAACCCTATTGAAAACAGGTACATATATAATACTATGTAACATGCTCATGTCCTCCATCTATCCGCCTTTATACGCAAGGCGATCTAGAAGTTTGAAGTTTGTACCGGCCGATTTAGTACGGAAAGAGAGACAAGCAGGACGTTCATCTTTCTTTTTTAAAAGTCCTCCAGGCATAACGACCGTCAGTAGTAGGTAAGTCGGCAGGTATGTATTGCCAAACCTTCTCCCCTCTCTATATGATTACCATTCTTTAGAAGCCTTCGGCTCGAGAGGCGACAAGCCACTTGATTTAAGCAACCTAGTACACCTGGACGGACTCGCCGAGCGTAGCGGCGCCGACAACCGGGCTAGGGGCATCCTTGGACGCGGCGGCCTCGACGGGCTCGTCCTCCTCGGGCATGCCGCCGAGGATCATGGAGCTAGGGGCTAGGGCCTGGATCTCGGGGGGGCTGGTGAAGGCGAAGAACTTCTCGTCGTGCCACTGGCCGGCGGTGATGAGGCGGCCCTCGCTGTCGGTGAACACGACGTCGTTCTCGGCGCGCAGGAAGTAGGCGATGGAGTAGCGGTGCTCGGTGGGGTCGAGGGGCACGACGCGGTGGATGCAGGATTGCATGGTGTGGCCGCTGGCGAAGCGCAGAGAGTCGCCCACGTTGATGACGGCCATGCCGGCCTTGGGCTCGACGAAGCCGAACTCCTTGGCTCCGGGGGGGCGTACCTGCAGACCCCACTGCTCGGCGAACAGGAAGGTTAGCGAGCTGATGTCGGTGTGCTTCTGGTGGCCGATGTTCTTGGCCGTGGGGTCGGAGGGGATGTAGTGCATCATGGCGATCGTGCTGGTCGAGGGTCGGTCGTTGCGGTGCGTGTTCTCGAAGCGCGAGGCGCCGGTGAGGCCGAGGCCGGTGGAAAGAGCTGATAGGATCGTCTTGGTGGCGATGTTGGCGCCGGCGATGGCGTGCTCGAGGACCTTCATGTCGGGGCTGTTCTTGATGACGGCTGGTAGGTGTGGGCTGTCCTTCTGGATCTCGTCGCGGGAGACCTTGATCATCTCGTAGCCGTCCTTGGTGTTCTCGAGGACACCGGTACGCGAGCCAACGGGCTCGTATCTGTTTTATTCACTTGTTAATAAAGAATGTTTCTTTTTTTTCCTGTTTCATTTTGCTTGCTAACTAGTTAGCTAAATAGTTAGCTAGGGGTCACTCACCCGAGATGCGGTGCGACAAGACCGAACTCGTTCTTGGCCTCAAGAGGAGCATCGAAGAAGCGGTACATGAGCTTCAGCGTGTCTTGCTGGTCCTCGAGCATCCTGCGGCCGTCAATGCCTCGCAGGTCCAGGTAGAAGTATCCCGTTTCCTGGCAGCAGCTAACTAGCCTCTCGATCTCGGCCGGCTCTTGGGAGAGCAGCTTCGAGAAGTCGATGATCTCCATGGGGTAGACCGGGACCTTCTTCCCGTTCCACTCCACGGTCTGGGGAACATCGGTTGAGATGGCCATTGTGATTCGTCTGTTAGCTGCGGGATAGGTGAGATGTGAGTTAGGGTCGTCGAGGTCGATAGAGACAAGGACAGCTTTCGAGGTTCCTAGGTATTCATCTTGTCACTCGCCAGCTCCCGACCCCTTCTACTTTATAGACAGGCGATGACGATGAAGACGTTATCGGAGCTTTATCCTCCATAATCTTGGGAAGTCCGATGTAACTTCCCCCTCCCCCACACTGCCTTTTGTCATTTATCCATCCGCATCCCAGATGTCACTTATTCAATCCTGTTTTGATTCTCGCATGGGATTTACACGACAGCTCTAGGAATGCCAATATGTGACACCACTTCTTGGCAACTTATCGTTATCGAAAAGAGTATACGCTCTTAATCTCCAGTTTAGCCGGTTTGGAATTGCGTACCTAGATCGTTGGCGCGGCTGCAACCCTCCGCACTCTATACATATCTAGTCAGCTTTGAGGACCCTGCGAGGACGCGAATCGCGCCCAGCGGGCTTCCCAGGAAGCATCGTATATATTATACACGACGCCAAGCCCGGCAGATGTATCTGATAGCTCTTTAGGGTTTACGTGGGATTTAGTAACTTAAAGCGACAATCTTATTATTCGTATATTCCCTAGCATTGACTCCGCACTCTTGGCCTCCCAGGGCCTCTGAACAAGTCCCATAAAACGATGCCGGAGCCGATAATGTTCTCGCTGGGGATGAGCTCGATATCCTACTATACTATGAACTCGGCTTGGACATGCAGCATTTCCCCTCATTTTTCGCCACGATGGTATATTGGATGTCGAGCTAAGACATGAAATCCCCACAGAGTCTAGAGGCCTCGTGTCGATCTGCCACGCCAGTAGTGAGGCGATCAGAGAAAGCGAACCGAGCTTGAGGTAACCTAAGTCATCGCTTATGGATTCGGCGATAGGGGCCGCGATTGAGTGCGGAATGAACCTGAAAACTTTATGTCCGTTCCAAGTTTACCGGTCTTCGTTGTTGTCTTATAGACAGGGCTCTATACGTAATATAAACTTGGCGGAAGCGTGGCAATATTTGGAACCCTTTTGCCAATACCCTGACTACTTTCAATAGAAACTTATAATCAAATATCGTTCGATTCTTTATTTTCCATTTATGAGGTTTTGTGCAACCTTGCTGGGGCTATCTAAGGCCAGAATCCTCCCGTAGGTAGGATATAGAGAGGTAGATAAATATGATGGTAGATATGTTGGCGGAATCATTTTAATCGTTGCTCGGCTATGACCTCATGGTGTGCTAATCACTCAAATTGATAAGCAACTGAAAAATTTATATTATACTTGAAGCAGATGCCAGAATATCAGCAATCATTAAGCATACCTAGGTACCTAGGTAGATAGGCTGGCCGCCAGAACGCCCACCAGTTGCTTAAGCATTCCATGAGTATATCCTATATTCTAAACCGACAAGGTATCTGCCTTATTTTTATTAAGATCTTTTAGATCAATCTATAGTACGTCAAAATCTCGAGTGTGATTAAGGTATAAGAGCCTTTACATTAGTATGGACGACAAGAACAAGGGGGGATTGAATTGGCGTACTATAAGTTATGTATACGTATATTCTACGACAGGCGCATTATAGAATATGTTGAGATATTATAACAAATTGCATATAGGCTTACTATGTAAGCTTACCTTCTAGTACTGAGTACTAAAAAGGGGAAAGGTTCAAATAGGGTTGCTAATATTACTAAGACTAAACTGAGACATAGCATTTATTTTATATATTAGGTAATAAGACAATAGAACATATTTTAATTAGGTTGTTATTACATAAGGTTATAATTTAATTGGCAGTACTAAAGAGAGAATATAATAGGATCCCTAAATACCTAACTGGTAAAAACTTTTATAGTTTCGTTCACTTTTTGGATGGGCATTATAACCGTTTATTTGGCCGTGCGTCTACGTAAAGGTACTTTGAAATATATCTAGGAGTCTACAATTATTACCTTCATATGAATGTCCATTGAGTAAAACTCCTATATCATAATCATAAGTACCTAAATATTGGGCCTACGCTCTCGATATTTAGACCAACGATACTTGGCCCAGCAGTATTTATATGTATTCACCATCGGTTTGGAAATAAGCTTTCACGATAGAGCCTGCCATACTAAAAGAACGACATGCGACCTACCCCCAGGGAAACAAAAGCGTGGAATTTTTTAACCGTCCTAACCATAGTAAATAATATCAAAGTCTGTGAAGACTAGCCGTAATAGATCATCCTTAATGCAATATATAATAGAGCAGAACCGCAGGTTTATCATCAACTCTTTTGGACCACGAGGTCAACTCTCTGCCTTAAAAACGCCTGTTCCTTGAAATCAAGCCCTCGTATACTCCTTATTCCGTCTTCGACTTCTCAATATTACCAACCCAGCTAGGCTCCTAACTTAATCCGACGAACTGGGAGAACCGCCCGCATTTGCGCACTGTGGACATCGTTCGCCGGTCCTCTCAACCGTCTCATGGTCCTCTAGTACGTCATAATGAGGGCATTCATCGCTGCCGTCCTCATCGCCTGCGGAGGAGTATTTGAATTTCCAGAATTCGCATGCTCTGTAGTGGTTGAAAACCAGATGTCTCTTATTTTTTCGAGGGTTGCAATCATATAGATACCAAACTTCCGTGCACATCTTGAACCAGGTGTCGTGGTGACGGTTTTGGGCGACCCTTCGAGGGCGCAATTTGAGTGGTGTATGTAATGAATGAAGTTGTGTAAAGGTAGTTTGCGGTGGAGATGCGGCTCAATTCTGAGTTGGGTTTAACTTTGACTTGATCGCTGCCTTTGCCCTTGTGCTTGCGTAGAACTTAAAATGTGTATAAGGTTTAAATCATTTGAGAATGATGCGTTTGTAGAATCAGATAAAGGTGAACCGTCTTCATACGAGACTATTCATCTTTGACTCACCTCCTCAGGTAGAGCTCAAACGATAGCTCTTCACATTTCCTAAGAGACGATGTATTATTAACGTCCTCCATTCAAACTTTATTAACCAGCCTACTGAGATAAATTTCGTCGTCTCTCACGGAGAGGGACTACCAGACAGGAAATATCTAAAAGTTTTTGGGAAGCATGTGAACAGGGTAGTATCGTATACAGGCATGGCGATCCTACCGCCGCGCGTTTCACAGTAATTGCGACATTTAATATCACAAACTTGCAGAAACTAATCTGGAAATCACACTGCATAGATATTCTTATAATAAGCTTATAGAGCTTGGGTTGCAAAGAGTGGATATTATATAACAGGGTATTTCTTTATATAATTCTATGCCGCCCACAGCGGTGAGAATGAATTATATATGCCTATTTCGTTACGACAGAAATATTAGTTATACGGAGAAATCCGGGTTTTATCACGAACCATGGTTTCTCATGATGACAAAGAGTAACGACTTCGATTCCCAGCATACCTATCAAAGGAAGCTATTGAGACGCAGGCGAAAGTGGGCCGTTGAAAACATGAATAGCTTTCGTTTGGGTCACTACCCTTATACTAGGTGGTGCTTCGCTCCTAGCCAGAGAATAACTATTGCAATAACCGAGAAGGCTTGAATAAAAAGGACCCGAAAAACTATAACAATGGTATTGAGAATTCGGTACAGATCAACCGCCCAAAACTCGATGTCAAGGTTGACACGATCTTTCACAGAACTAAATATGTCAGTTGTTCCTTTGCTAACACCACATAGGCTGGGTATTATATTGCTCATTTCAAAATAGCCCTCGCCTACTATTTTTGACATATCAACTTCCGCATCCAATTATGAGAAGGAGGGGCATATTGTCGAATATAATTGGAGGCTTTGAAACATTCTAGAACTGGTATTAATGAGCTATGCATACCGGGGACGGATCAATACGAATATTCACCTTGATAGACTATTTGCAGTCATTTCTCCGAAGTCAAGAAATTCATTCAACTTATCGTATTGACAATGTAACATCTAGGAGATAGGCCGCCGGCAGTATACCTAACAGTAGATAAGCTACTAATAACGATTGCACCACAAATCTACATTCTGAAGTCAAATATGTCAAATATGGCGTGGATTGATGGTTACATGGAATCTCTGCCACTCTGATACCGGGCGGGTACTCCCTTTTTTTACGTCAGATGATTTTTGGCATTCCTGGAGAAATGGATCGACTAAAGGACCTATTTGGGATAAGAGATCCAAGTTCTAGCCCGCGACGTCCCGATGAGGACGAAGGAGGAGCAAATACTCATTACACTGGGTAGACCGTAACGCTATGATAGGGCACGTACACTGCGTATCAAAACGAGGATGCCAAGTAGATCTCGGACCAGACGGCATTGAGTGGATTAGCAATAGAAGATTGTATGTATTAGAGGTAGCTATTTGTTGGAGAGTTAATCCACTTGAGAGCCTAGAACTAGCACTAGGTATCCTGATAGATATCTATTAATGTAACCAGGTAGTCATGTAGTCAATATAGATGCTGTTGGTTGAACTAAATCGGCCAAAAGGGGAAACTCGCGCTAATCGAAGCGCTTGCTGACTTGAACCCGCGCTTATTGGAGATAGGGAAATTGAAGGATTTTTTTTTTATTAGTTGCAAGTGTAAAGAAATGGCTGTCTACTCAGGCCAGAGTACACTGGCATCGACAAATAAGATGTCGTGTTGCGGTTTGAGAAGTTGATCAGCTGAGCAATAATCTAATGTTCAGGGCGCAAACATCAATTGGGTGGCCTTTTTATCTTTAGAGCGTAGAAGAGTACACGCTACAATACGCTGTGCTGTGATGGTAAATATCCCACCTTTACCGAGTTTGCTCATCGTATTCCGTAGATATCGTGACGTTGGTTGCACGGGAGCCAACAACAACAAAAACCTGCCTACCAGGCAGATAAAAGCGCGCCAATCCCGCATTCGTCACGGTGCTGACGACGCCACCGAAGCTTGCGGGGTGCTTCTTAAACCAAGAGAGATAGACGGGTCGGGCATATGTAGTAAATCCATTTATTTACTAAAACTGCAAGAAAAGAAGTGGCAAATAGGTACCTAAACGGTCGAATATTATTATGTAGGAATAATTAAAAAAAGATCCGGTAGCAATTCGACCGAGAAGATGTAAATCCTTTCCACACCACCTCCTCGTCACGTTATTTAGGCGACACCAAAAATTCCAAGTCTTGGTCCTGTTTGTCTCGCCGGGATGATCCAATCAACCTGCAGAATACCCCTGTTCGCCTGAACAAGACCATGCCTGCGACAGGA